TTCACCTGGTCTTCACTGAAACTCTGATGATGTTCATCAGGAGGAGGTGGTGATCAGTGTTGAAGTTGGCTTTATATTCACGTGTTTAAGGCATTGACTTTATTTTCTAATAAAGAACAGTATATGAATATATATTTAAAGTACATACACAGTGAATAAAGTACGTAGAAGGAAATAAGCCTGGATTTGTCCTTTCAGCTCTTTGACTCTGGTGCAGGAGTGAAATGGTTAACAGCAGCCATCTCATGTATCTTTCATTAAAAAGTCAGAACTTTCCTGATTCAGTTCCAGTATGTTAACACACTCCACATGGCTCCGATTCCTACGTCTGGGTGTGTGTGAAGACAGAGAAGTGTGTGTGTCCCTCTGAGCTGTGGTGGGTGGAAGGATTCACTTAAAAAGGTTTTGTTTTTGTAGAAATCCCGTCCGTTTCTGATTTCTGGATTAGATTTTCAAAAGTCTTGATACAAACAAACGCCAACCGCTGCTGCTGCTGCTGCTGCTGCTGCTGCTGCTGCTGCTGCTGCTGCTGCACCTGCAGCTGCGACCGAGGCAGGAGAGGAAGGAGCAGCAGGTGTGGAAACCTTCAGTTCACCTCATGATACAACTGTCCGGGTACTTCTGGGAAATACTGCATATCATTGAAAAATACTACAACTACAAATATCAGCTGAAATCATACAGTTACAGAACAGGTGAGAAGTGACATCAGAAGTGACATCAGAGCTTAGTGAACCTGGAGAACGTTCCACAGACTCCCTCTCTATTTCAGTTTAACTTTGTGTTGCAGTAGTGTTGTCGTTGTGACCTCTGTCTCACAGAGGGTTAGTTTTAGTTGATCATTTTCTAATCTTTTACCTTTGTGTTAAACATGATGTCAATCAGGATTTCTTGACGTATATTATATTTGCAGACACACGATGTCAATCAGGATTTCCTGACGTATATTATATATGCAGGCCAACACTAGGTGGTTTTTTTATTTGTCTTTTGTGTTTTAGGTACTGCAGTTCAGTGTTAGATTTCTAAAACTTTTGAGTTTTCTGGCATCAAACTTACGAAGAGACGAGCGAGAGGAATAAATCAGTGTCTGACGCCAACGACAAATACTTGTTTTCACACCTCGCTCACTCGACTAAGTAGGAGTGTGACGGAGAGACGGAGAGACGGCAGATCCATCCCACACACGACAGGCCGAGGCACGTCTGTTTTGAATAATGAAAGAAGAAAAAAAAACCACGGGCTCTCGTCACCTCGCTCTGTTTGAATTACCTACCCCACCCCCCCCCTCACCCTCTGAGTGCTGGGTTGGTGTGTGTGCCAATCAACGGTGCATCAGCACAACACCTGAGAGCCAGTAATTACAGGGCAGAGTCCTGCACCTTCACCACCTCTGCTCCTTGTAGCCTCACTATTTCACTGTTCTGCCTTTCGTTTACACACATGTACTCTGTCTTGCTGCGACTGACCTTCATTCCTCTTCTTTCTAGTGCAAACCTCCACCTCTCTAGGTTCTCTTCTAGCTGCTGCCTACTCTCACTACAGATCACAATGTCATCTGCAAACATCATAGTCCATGGGGACTCCTGTCTGACCTCATCTGTCAATCTGTCCATCACCACAGCAAACAAGAAGGGGCTCAGGGCCGATCCTTGATGTAGTCCCACCTCCACTTTGAAGTCTTCTGTCCTCCCAACAGCACACCTCACTACTGTTGTACTATTCTCATACATGTCCTGCACCAAACTAACATACTTCTCTGCCACTCCTGACTTCCTCATACAAAACCACAATTCCTCCCTTGGCACTTTGTCATATGCCTTTTCTAAATCTACAAATACACAGTGTAGCTCCTTCTGACCTGGGGTATGAAACCATACTGTTGTTCACAAATCTCCACTTCCTGCCTCAACCTAACTTCAACTAAATCAACCAAACCAAATCTTCATCGTATGGCTCATCACCCTTCTTATACTTGAGTCACAAACAGGTAAACACCAGTTTTCATCATTAAAGCAGTGACCCTGAAGTGACCTCTGTCAGACGGAGATCTGTGACGGTGATGTCCAGCCTCAGCTGGAGGACACACCGACAGACAGTCGTTCGTGTACTTTACGATAAGCAGAGCTCAGCCTGAGATTAGCATCGGCTCTGCTACGCATTTTCCTTTGGACCTTCTCCACCTGGCCGCAGGTCAGAGCCTCTCTCCTCCTCTGCCCTCGTTCACTCGTAACTTGACTCCCGCTGCTGCAGTCGGTCCGGGGCAGGTTTACAGGCAGGGCTTTTAGAAGTGCCCTGGGAGGCAGATGCCGACCAAGCAGACGGTCGATAGTCCCACCATAAGATAATATTCACTCACAAAAAGAGAGTCCTCTGGCTCCGTTCCATCTTCTCCAGTCTGTGTCAGTCGGTGTCACGCAGGACGCTGAGTCAGCACGCTCTCAGGAGAGTTCCTGGCACGACTGTCGTGGTCGTCTGTGTCAGCGAGCCGTGTGCAGATTAGGTGGTCCGGTCGTCAAACTCAGCACGAGCGTTCCAGCTTTGGCTTCATTAATCATGTTTTAAATGGGCTGTTTCTGTTAAAGGAAGTGGAGCAGAGTTAGTCATCAACTCAAAGACGGTAAAAATAAAATCAAATAAATACCTGAGAGGAAACACAACGTTAAACATTTGAAGAACAACCCTGATCAAGATGAAGATTGTTAATGACTCACATCCTGATTGTCCTAAAGGATTCTGGGAACTTCAGTAGAACACAAGTCAGTTGGTCACACACCACTGACGCACATGAACTGACAGCACTGACCAGCAGTGTCTGTAGAATTAAAAACATTAGTATTTGTAACAGAACGATCCTTAGATACTGGTGATGTTCTTCTTGGTCTTAATTCTAAAGTTTTCTTAACTTAGTACCAAGTCCAGGTCAAACTCTAACTAGTTAAGGTTTTTTTTTTTATCATCTCTGTGAGACTCATGTGGCCACATATTCACAGTGGAGTGGTTTTATCGTTAATGATTAATTTGGCCTCTAGGTGGCCGAAGTATGGAAATAAATGTGTGTTTATGGAGGACGACTTAAATCCAAGTTTTCCATCTGACTAGAATCAGAGCAAAGAGTGGATCAACATGTTCTGACTGTGATGAAGATGATGAAGACTAAAACGACCAAAACTGCATTTCTATTCATCACTTGCAGAGAGATTTCCCTCAGTCCTGGGGGAGGAGTGTGATGTCGTCAATGTTCAGCCAGGGGGCTCTACCCTGGTTGGATGACTGTGAGGAAAAAATCTAGATTCCATGTAAATGGAACATGACTGGGAGTCAGTGTTAAAGCTGGGCTCCTGTCAGCTGATTGGACCAAGACTTTCTGAACCATTTTTCATGAACAGCACTTTGCACTAAAATGCAATTGAAAAAAAAACCCTCAAGAAATATCATTAATTAAAAAAAACGCCTTTTGGTGTTTTAAAACAGTATAAAAAACATCATGTTTCTTCACAGATGAACATTTCTGTTCATCCTCCCAGATGGTCACCCCTCCTCACCCAGAACCTCACCTTTAAACCCCTTTACCCCCCCCCCCCCCCCCCTCCCTTTGACCCCTTTCCCCCCCCCCCCCCGTGTCCATAATACTGCCTCCTTGTGTCCGTGTGTCACAGTGATTCTCTGTGATCCATATGTCAGAGTTTTAATACGTTAAAGAAAAGGTTGAGGTTTTTTTTCAGTTCCAGTCAATAGGCCGAGCCCCGGGGGGCGCTGACCGTCCGGTGGTGCTGTGTTTCCCCCGTAGAGCGGTTTGATGGCACTCTATTGTCTGCCAACAGCAGGGTCCGCTGAGGCGCGGCGCAGCTCCCTTTATGAGCACTCAGGACATTTACAAAGATTTAATTTGCCTTGAAATAAAACCAGTTTCTCTCCACACTGGAAAACTTACGTGTTTGTTCCTGTGACTCGGAGGACGACGGCTGAAAGTCTTTCTCTACTTTGTCCTCCCTCCCCTGGTTTTAATGACGGCCCCTCTTTTCATGGACTCCAGATGGGACAGTCTTGTTGATCTGTGCAGAGATGTGATGTTTGGAGGAGATAGAACCGCTGCAGCTGGCGTTCATCCTTCTGAGGAGGCGATGATCGTCAGAGTCAGCAGCGCCGTTTGTTTTCAGGCACGTTGAAGAGTTTAGGTTGGAAGCTGTAAACATTTATTGCGGTTCCATTTGCATTATGCTCCGAAGCAGCACCAGGTGGCAGTGTGGGAGATAAACGCACCACTTAACTTCAATTATGTTGTTGGTTATACATTAGGGGAAAGGCTGCAGATAGTTTCACTGCAACAAATATTAGTGTTTACAGGGCATTTGTGTAAACAAACTGAGTCCATGACCCCCCGGACCCCCCCGGGGGTGTTGACACAGGCCGCCTGTAGGGGTGTTAAATATGTTTAGAATGAGAAGTAACAGTATAAATTATTTACTGGACTTAAGAATTTAATACTGTGACCTTTGACCTTGTTGGAAGATACAGTCGGACGTCATGATGAAGATGACCATCAGTCCAGAAAATACAAAATAATGAGCTTTTGTTTTTGTTTTTTTCAGAGAAGAGTTGGTGTAAATGAAGACCAATCATGTCTCACCTCATGTTACTTGTTAAACTTGAAACAGAAGACGTTAAAATGTCCATAAAAGCAGCTTGAGATTATTGCCAGTGCAGATTGAACGTATATTCTCCATCTGTATTTCATCAGAGTCACTCTGTCAGGGTCTGATGTGGCCGGAATAACTGTTTGGACTTTTGGTCGGCCACTAAAGACCTCCATGTGAGGGAGGGGAGGCCGAGGGAGGAAAGACTTTAACAGACCTGAGGTCTGAGCAGAAAAGACAAGGACAAAGACAAAGACAAAGACAAAGACAAGGACAAAGACAAAGACTGGATGTAAATAAAGCTGTGACTCAGGGACGTCGACAAGATACGACACGACACCGTGGAGCTGCTGTAGCTGCCTGTTGTACGGGGGGGGGGGACGTGTTTCAGTACAAATAATCCCTCTACAGTATCTCTATCTGAAAAATACCTTTACATTTTAATTATCTGTTGATTCATGTCCCATAAATGAATGAATTAATCACACGTTTCAAAGCACAGTTTATTATTGGAGCAGAATCCAATTGATCTCCTTTTTCTTAGAACTTTTTGACCCAGCCTCGCGTGTTGTGTTACAGACAGTGTAACATCAGCGTGTTTTCTCCACGTCGTCCTACTGAACACATGAAGTGAACACAGAAGTCACAGCCAGGCCTTGAGGGGAAACAAAGCTCCATTAGTTTGACATTAGAGGTCAAATGTTCGGTTCCACACAAAGGAAAGTGGTGACCAGTGGATGTTGATGCTGGTCATTAGTGGTTTTGGGGGTTAACTAATAAAAAAATAGAAATCTGTGTGTAATTAACATATACAGATCTTCATGACTACAGACCTTCACCACAGACCAATGATTTTACACACAAATAACACAGAAGGAGCCGCGGCCGAGGCCGACAGAGAATCCTTTTGTTGAGGTTTTTGTTTCCGTGGTTCTGGGTCCATATGTTGCCATGTCGTTTTTTTACGTTGGTATAAATGACGTGACGACGGTACATTTACAAAAACACAGTGTTTTCTTTATTATAACACGCGTTGTTCGGCCCAGGATTTTGTTCACAGACCTAAAACTGGCTGAACAACTTCAGCCTCAACTCCTGCTCCTCCACGAGTCACGTTGGAGTTCGTTCTTGTCTTTTTTATGTCTTTGTTCTCCTGCTGTTTCCCCAGACTCCAAGGAGAGGTCAGCCAAGAGATTCTCTGTGGACGGTGTCTCCAACTACACCTCCCTGCTGCTCAGCCAGGAAGACGACATGCTGTACGTCGGGGCCAGGGAGGCGCTGTTCGCCCTCAGCCTCTCAGACATCAGCAAGACCAAGCTGCAGAAGAACGTAAGGATAAAAAAAAAAAAAAAGTTAAAATTGTTGTTGGTTTTTGATGAGAACTGCAGTTCAACTGTAACAATATGATTTAGTCCAAGGTTATGGTTGAAAATGCAGGACAGTTATCGCCGTGTTGCTCTGCCCCCCCCACGATGTGTTGAAAACATATTAACCTTAATGTGAGTTTTTTAGTTAATAATAAAAAACAATAAGAACAGGAGTGAAGTGAAGGTCGGAAAGAAAACATTTAAACTATGGCAGAAAAAGAGTCGAGTTTAAAACTTGGTCTGTAAATAATTATATAATTTTTTTTGGTTGTTTTTTTAATTAATCCGCAGCTGACGTGGGGCACCCCTGCTGGAAAGAGAGAGGAGTGCAGCTTCAAAGGAAAAAACCTGGATGTAAGTGCCTCGTTATCGTTATTATTTTAATGTCTCAGTTTACAAAGAAATATCTCAAAATGTCTGAAACCAAACCCTGTGAAAGGCTAAAGGCTAAAGGCTAAGAGCTAACGGCTAACGGCTAATGTTGACAGTCCTGTTCACCAGCTGTGAATAGATTTATCAGGAGTGCGGCCTCAGCGGGGAGTTGCTCTTTTTTTGGTCCTTCATCGTTCCCTCGTTGCGTCTGCGTCTGTGTTTCCTTGTTGTCATGCCTCCTGTTGTATCCCTGGACCTGCAGCCTGTGTGATCTGTGTGATCTATCTCTACACTCACCAGGCAACAGCTGAGTGATGCTGCCAGGTTTACCCTGGGATTCCTTCTCCTCCTCCTCTTCCTCCTCCTCCTCCTTCTTCTTCTTCTTCTTCTTGTTGATGTAACTTCACCCACAGATCTCCAACTCCACAGTAAAAAAGTCACCTTTTTTTTTTCTCTCACTCAGACTGACTGCTTCAATTACATCAAAATCCTCCTGCGGCTGAACAGCACCCACCTCTATGTGTGTGGAACCTTTGCTTTCAGTCCTAACTGCGCCTACATCGTGAGTAAAGACGTCTGTGTCGGTTCTGTTTCTCCAGACTCTGGAACAAAACGCTGTTTTCTTCTGTCACTCCTCGTCTTCACATGAATTTCTACCGTAGTGTGTTGATGTATTCAGAGGTGGGGGGGGGCTGAAAGAGGTGTGTTTATGAAGTGGTGGAGCTCATTAGGTCGACAGTCTGACAGTGATGGGGGAGGGGAGAAAAGTGGGTGAGGTTTGATCCGTCTGTGACGTCAGAGGAAGAGAAGAACTTAGACTCCACCTCTCATCACGGTCCAGGCCTCAGTCATGTTAGTCTACACATTAATACATGTTTTATGTTCACAGCTGCTGCTGCAACAGCAGGTTTTACAGATACTAAAAAAAAACCCTGAAGACAAAATGAAACTTAAAACAAAATGACAGGCAAGGTAAAAAAGTGATGACACAGATTTGACTGTTAGGAAATAAATAATAGAGGAATTATTGTCTCCAAACACATGCTCTCTCTGTAAACCAGCTGTTAAAAGTCCTGCTCATTCTGTCTAAGGAACATTTTATTTATTAACTTATGGGGGAAAAAAAACTGTTCCAGCATCTTGTCGTTTTCAGCGACGCCGTTAAAAGAGCCAAGAGCAACAGCGGGTTAGTTTCAGTGAATTTTATGAGCAAAATGTTTGAGCAAAGGAATAGAATCAGCTTTTTGTGTTTTTTTTTAACTGCCATGAAGTCAGGAGCTCCAGTGTCTCACCATCAATTTTCCACTAAATGGGATCGTAGATTAAAAACTAAACTCTATAAGGACCAGGAGCCTGGAAGTACGGACCATAAACCTCACGGAAAATGTTAGTCCATGTGATGAAGTGTTTCTTCTTCGTCCATAGAGTCCTCTCTACAACCCCAATTTGTGTCCGTGTCCGTTTTTTATATAGTTTTTGGGAAGGAAGACTAAACGTCGTCTTTCTCCAAGTCCATTATGACGGAAAAAATAAGTCACAGACTCGGAGCTCGTACAGTGTGAGCCCAGTCTTTACTCAGAGTAAAATGTCTTTGTGTCTGTCTCCAGAACACGTCAACGTTCTCACTGGAGAAAGATGAAATGGGAGAAGTGGTGATGGAGGACGGACGCAGCCGCTGCCCTTTTAATCCAGAGTACAAATCCACGGCCGTCATCGTTGGTATGTAGCCCTGCTGAGAGAGAGAGAGAGAGAGAGAGAGAGAGAGAGAGAGAACCCTGACCCTGGTTTTATTTATCCTTTCACGACAAAGACTCAGATGTTGCATTGGTGAAATGTCTCTTCCTCTGATTGAACAGATGGAGAACTGTACACGGGCACAGCCAGCAACTTTCAAGGAAATGAACCGGTCATTTATAAAAGTTTGGGTCAAGGACCTGCACTCAAGACTGAAAACTCCTTGAAATGGCTTCAAGGTAAAAGAACGTCCGTCCAGTTCAGAGAGAGGACTTGATTTTTTCTTCTTACTTAAAACTGGTCCAATGATTCACTGATTTCAAAGAAAAACACCTTCTCTTGAATTAAAACTTTTTTCTGAGCTTGTTTGACCTTTTTTTTTAGATAAACATTATGAGCTCATGTTAAAATATCTTAGAACTTTTTGACTAACGGTCCAGTACAGACATAAAACCAGGCTTTTATCTTGGACAGACCCAGTCTTTGTGGGCTCAGCCTACATCGAGGAGAGCCAGCCAATAGGAAATGCTGTGGGTGATGACGACAAGATCTACTTCTTCTTCAGCGAGGCGGGAAAAGAATTCGACTTTTTCGACAACACCATCGTGTCCAGGATCGCCCGCGTGTGTAAAGTAAGTCACCTGGGGGGGGCGCTGTCCAAGTTTGAGGCACAAGTTTGTTTTTGTTTTTTTTCTCTCCCTAATCCTTGGTACAATCAGCTGAAGAGGAGGCGGAGCTCTGGTCTGTCAGAGCGTGTTTCTAACATTCATCTGTTCATCACGGCTCCAGTCGAACTCTTTCCTCTTCACTGTACAAACATGTTTTCATCAGATTTGTTTCCCCCCCGGCCCTGAATCATCCTCCCTCCCTCCCTCCCTCTCTCCCTCCCCCTCCCCCTCCTTGTCTGCAGAGTCATCTCCCTCTTTCCTTTTGTCTCCCTCACAATGTCAGCTGCACTCATCCATCCATCCTCCCCTCTCACTCCCTTTTTCTCCCTCTCTCTCTCCTGAGATTTTCTGGCTCTGCCTTGTTAGTATTCAACGCAGAAATATCAAGTGCCTTTTCTTTCCTGTCAGGAGAAACACGCAGCACATTTTAACCTGCTGACGTCACCTTCCCTTCTCTGGAGTTTACTTTGGTCGTCCTCCCTGAACACGTCACCCGTCTCCACCTGTCACCACCGTGATGATCCAGTGGTGGAGCCGTGTGATCGACACATGCTCTCCTCATCTGTGTCTCGTCTGCTCTGCCTCGTGTAGAACGGCGGGGACAGCATATAATCTTAAGTGACAGTTTAATGACTCTGTCCTGTTCGATGACATAAAGACCTGCAGTTAACATCAACGTTGCTGCAGATAAACTGAGCGACGACAGGAGAGAATAACTGCTTTCTCTGCAGCATCAGGAGTTTTTATGTCTCTTCAGCTGCTCCCCAGTGGAGGACAGAGGTACTGCAGGTGGTTGAAACTGCAGTTCATTAATAACAACAACAATAATTTGAACTTTATTGATCCCACACACGTGCAAATTCTCGTGCTACCCACAGAGCTGCTGCAACAGGTCGCCCCTAGGAGGCGCCAAGTGTGTGGTTTATGCAGTTAATGAGGGCTGATCAGTGTTTTTGTTGTTGTAAAAACTGCAGTTCTGTTGAACCATGAATCACGTCAGCTGTGACAGCAGAGCAGAGCTGTTACCAACTCCAGGCCCATCACATCTGAACTTGACTCAGAGGTATGAAGCCCCTCCCTGTCAGCAGGCTCGCTGCCCACAACTGGAGAACAACATGCACTCCAGATCAAATCAGATCAAATTGTTGTTTTTTTTCTTTTCTGTAATAGTTATGTTGTTGAGTTTTAACTCCTCCTTTTCCACCTTTTTCCCCGGCTGCTGCGCTCGTCCTCCGCCGTACGACTGGGTGAAGGTTCAGCCCTGGTTTTCCACCGTGTTGAAGCTACTGTTTGACTTGTCGGTGCCAAGCAAAGCCCAGTTGTTTTTCTCCCCGTTTTTGTTCTGTCTTTCCCCCCTCGCTCGTTCCACTCCCATAAACACTCTGTGTTTATTCAGGTGCTCGTTCTAACCCACTCATGCACCGCGCTGCTCCGTCAGGTCTGTGCCTCAGGTCGACAAACGTGAGGAATCTAAAAGATTAAATGTGAGACTGTGAGGCTGCACAGAAACTATCTGGATGGCAGTACTGACCGGGGGGGGGGAGGGGGGGTCCACAGACCACTACTACAACCACCGCCTGGTAACTGACCTCTGGTCCGTCCCCGTGGGTTTGACCTCGGTGTTGTATGGTATGGTAGGGTGGACTCCTCTGTGCTGTGGTGTAGGAGGATCAGCTGATGGGATGGTTTGGATCTGAGGCAGGAAAATGTCTGGAGATTGGGAGAGGCCTCTTGTTTTGGTCCTTGACTTCCTGCTCCTCCGCTGCAGCCTGTAGGCAGAAAGTGGGAGGATTCCTTATTTTCTGTGTTTACAAGAGTTTCAGTAATTGTTCGTCAAAACACACTCCCCTGATAACGCCGTGTCACGACAGAGGCTGGTGAAATATTTCAACATCTGCCTTCAGGAGAAAAGCCAAGGTTTTATTTGCAGTGTTTTTAAGGAAACATGAAGTTTTGTTATCAGTTCATCCTCAGTTGTTCTGAGTGAAGTGAATTCAAACAGAGGTTCAGTTTCTCTCTGATCTGATCACCTCAGGTTAAAGACACGTCGTGTTAATGTTCCTCTCTTTCTAACATTAAAACAGTACGACTGTTTACTTGAGTCCCTGAAGTTCCTGCGTCACACACTCACACACACACACACACACACTCCACCTTAAATCAACATGATTTAACCCTGGTCTTTTCTCTTAGAGCAAAAAGAGACAAAAATACATGATTTAACCCTGGTCTTTTCTCTTGTTGTTGTTGTTTTTTAATCTGTGATTTTAAAGTTTTTCATTTATTTGAAACGTGACTCAGTATCACTGCATATTTAGACTCAGATTTGTCCTAAAAGCTGAACACACTAATATTTCATCTACTGAAAAACATGGGCGGGAACATCATATCATCAGCAGTGAACTCCTTAGAGAGGAAAATGTTCCAGAGTTTTCTGAGAAGACACTGGTTTCACGTCGTTCTCTTCAAAATACTTGGCTTTCCATTTGAACTCTTCAAGAAGTTCTTGAACCCACAGAGTTCATACCCAACAGGGTGTGGCGCCAGAGGACCCCGGTCCGTCCTCTGGTCCACCAAACTGACTCTATTCTCCTCCTCTGCTCTGCACCTCCTGGTCCTCTCTCCTGATTGGACGTCGGCCTGCGTCATTCATCTGTGACTGTATGGTTTGCAGGGCGATAAAGGAGGTGAACGGGTGCTGCAGAAGAAGTGGACCACCTTCCTGAAGGCTCAGCTCCTCTGTTCCCTCCCCGACGACGGCTTCCCCTTCAACATCATCCAGGACATGTTCGTCCTCAAGCCTGTGGACGACAGCTGGGAGAGCACCGTCTTCTACGGCGTCTTCACCTCTCAGTGGTGAGAGACGTTTGTGATAGAGCACATCAACCAGTGTTTTTAAGAACTCCAAAAAAAAAACCCAGGCTCCGTGTGTCCTTGTCTTTGTGCAGGTATAAAGGAGCGTCCGGCAGCTCGGCCGTCTGTGCCTTCACCATGGCTCAGGTGGAGAGAGCCTTCAGCGGGCGTTACATGGAGGTCAACAGAGAGACCCAGCAGTGGTACACCTACAACCACCCTCCACCAGAGCCCCGGCCTGGAGCCGTGAGTGCAGGAAAAATAAAATAAATAAAGAGTTTGCATACACTACAGTTAGTTCAGTTATTTAGTGTCTCCTTCCTCTTCCTCCTCCTCCTCTTCCTCCTCTTCTTCCTCTTCCTCTTCCTCTTCCTCCTCTTCCTTCTACACAGTGTGTGACCAACCACGCCCGACAGATGGGAATCCAGTCGTCCTTGCAAATGCCCGACAAAGTGCTGAACTTCGTCAAGGACCATTTCCTGATGGACAGCGTGATCCGCAGCACGCCGCTGCTGCTCAAACGCAGCGTGCGCTACACACAGATCGCCGTGCACAAGATCGAGGGCATGGAGCGGGCGTACGACATCCTCTTCATCGGAACAGGTTCCTGCACCCTCACGTCCCACGTGTTGTTCCTTGTCTTCTCCAGCTGGTGTCGCTCACACAGTGTGTCCTCATGTTCCAGATGACGGGAAGCTCCACAAGGCCGTTAACGTCAACGACAGGATGCACATCATCGAGGAGCTGGTTCTGTTTCCTGAGCCTCAGCCGGTGCAGCACATTGAACTGGATCCTCAGAGGGTAAATCACCGCTCATTAACTCACTGTAGTCCAGACACATGGTCACAGAGTCTGATGAAGAGTCTGATGAAGAGTCTGATGAAGAGTCCTGATGAAGAGTCTGCAGCTGAGTTGGCTCAGAATCAGGTTCATAAAAACTCCAGTCACTGGAGCTCCAGCGTGACGTGGACGGCGTTTCTCCTCTGGGAGGTTTTTTTTCACTGAAGTTCTGTCATTCCTGGAACTGAGTTCACGGAGATGAAATTCCTCATGTGCTGACGTCCTGTTACATAATGGCATCTCTCTGAACCGAACAGAAATCTAACCTGAGATTATGTAATTCTGATGAAGACGACCCTGTCCTTGGGTTCAAGGCCTGGTCTGGTATAAATATAGACTGGACTGAAAGGAAGCAGGTGTGGGGTCAAAGGTCAGGAGGACTCAGCTATAAGATAAGATTCAGTTGAAGGTGAACTGTGTCTGTTTAAGGATTTGATAAGCAGTTCCCAGTTCATTCTTTTTATTATTATTATTATTTTAACATGAATTCCCTGCTCCCTGGTGTCTCAGTCTTTCCTGGTGTCTCTGTCCTCCAGGGTCTGTTGTACGTTTCCTCCTACTCCGGCCTGGTGGAGGTTCCTGTGGCCAACTGCTCCAACTACCAGAGCTGTGGGGAGTGTGTGTTGTCCAGAGACCCGTACTGCGCCTGGACCGGAAGGCTGTGTCGTGACGTGAGGATGGCTCCTCCTGACAGGTACGCTCTCACAGATGAACAGTTACGTTTCCACCTTTTAAATGATGCTGTCTGGCAGCTAGAGTAGTTTTTTTTTCAAACTAACTTTTTTATCACAGATAATAATCACATGCACAGATACTAGTAAAGATAATTGTCAGTTATTCACTACAAACACCAGAGTGCGTGAGAACAAACACTCGTGCAGTGACAGATCTGTGAAAATATGCTACAAACAAACAAACAAACACTTTGAAGATGCTGCTGCACGGACGCTGACGTTGGTCACAGTAAAGAGTGGTCTTTGTCCTGAGTCAGTGATGAAGCTGTGTGTTCTAATAACAGACCACTGCTAACTGTCGCCCCTTGTTTTCCTGACTCAGCCGTTGGCAGCAGGACGTGGAGGAGGCCGACACGGCGGCCATTTGTAACAAGACCGTCCCCAGCAGCAGATCAGCCAGACCAGCAGCGTCTCGTGAGTCGACTCTCTGTTTGTTTTTCTTCTTCTGCGCAGCAGCCTTTCATCAAGAGTTGTCCGTCACCTTTTCTGTACGACGACGACAACGACGACGACAACGACGACGACAACAATGAGGCAGTAACAGCAGCAGCAGCAGCAGCAGCAGCAGCAGTAACAGCAGCAGCAGCAGCAGCAGCAGCAGTAACAGTGCACGACAAAGCTGTCAATTTGTCAGAGAAATGACACGACAGGCAACAATGGGTGAAAGGAATTTGAAGGAACTCGGCTTTTGTTTTATCTTTGTTAAATTCCTACATGACTGTGAATGGACACATGATTGAACTTTGTGTAGAAATATAATTTATGATTTATTTATTTTTCAGATTTGACCCTTAGCATCTCCAGGTGTTTCACAAACTGTTTTGACCTTTGACCCCAGAGACCTTTTAGAAATAGTTATTGATCATGTTTGTTTTATATATTTATATACAAATGTTTTCCGTCATCATTTCTATCGACTTGTGCTGCTGTGATGTCATTTTCTTCTGTCAAACATCGCTCTGATTATCTGTCTTTTGTTTCTTCTCTGGTCACAGGGGGCGCTCCATGCCAGCTCATTGTAATTCCAGCCAATACATTTAGAGTCCTGCCCTGCAAGATGCGCTCCAACCTGGCGACCAGGAGGTGGCGTCACAGTGACAGCGCCAGTCAGTTCATCTACGCCACACCTGAGGGGAAGCTGGTGGTGGTGGCGCAGGCCGACAGGATGGAGACCTACGAGTGCTGGTCCGAGGAGGAGGGCTTCCACCAGCTGCTGGCCAACTACTGCGTGAAGGCGGAGCCGCGGCAGGAGAGCACCACCATGATCGGTCACTCGCGTACGCCGCTCATCAGGCACGAGGAGACCATCATCCTGCCTGGACAGTCGCGCTCTGAGCAAACGAAGACCTACCTGAACGAGCTGATCGTGGTGTGCTCCCTGTTGGCCTTCTCCCTGGTGGTGTTCTCGCTGTTTGTCATCTACAGGAACCGCAATCACATGAAGTCCATGCTGAAGCAGAGCGAGTGTCCCAACATGCAGAAGAAGCCCAGGATGGTGACCAAGCCTGCGGAGAGTCTGCCGCTCAACGGGAACACCATCCCCGTGTCCACCTCTGACCACAAAGGTTACCAGACGCTGAACGACAACTACATCTGCAGCACGCCCACGCACGAGTCCTCGCCGGACAACAGCAAGAGTTTCTCTGAGGCCTCGGACCGACGGCCGCTCAACGTCAAAGAGAGCCACGTGGAGTACTCCCCGACTCTGCCGCGGCCCAGAGTCCGACTGGGCTCAGAGATCAAGGACTCCATTGTATGAGAGCGAGGTGAACTGTGACAGGTCCGAACCCAGGTGTGGATGAAGGAGACGGCCCGTGGAGCAGAGCAGAGCAGAGGAGAGGAGATGTGGAGGTCCTCCCACATCACAGCTCATCTCTTCATTCAGTCATCATTGTCCTCTGATCATCCGTGGAGGTCATTTCATTTCAACCTTTTCTGCTCCGAGGGCAGAGAACGGTCCGGTTTGATGCACGAGGCTGGAACACAAGAACCGGCGGATAAAAAAGAGACACGGCGGCTGCTCAGTCCGACAGAAAGACACCTACGTTTTTGTTTAGTTTGAAACCTCTGTGTCGTCGTCATGGTCACCAGCAGCTCATGTGGGAGAGTTCAGAGCTGGGCAATAACGAAAAACGAGTATTTATGTCTTTAGATGTGCAGAGTACCAGGACACACCCTCAGAATCACAGCCTACAACAGGACCAGTGACGGCCACGTGGTCCAGCTCCACTCAGATATAAATAACTCCACACATGGCTGCCATACGACGTGACATCATGAGTGGAACCAAAACCACACATTCATGGAAACCCAGGAGTTCAGGCCAAGGAGAATGTGACATAATCCAAACACTATGAACGATGTTAACGTCTGCAGAAGAAATGTGAATCCTGTACAAACTGATGACAGCTGGAAAAAAAAAAAAAAAAAAAAAAAAAACACCAGGACGAGTTATAAAAAAGATGGATTCAGTTTATCTGTTGAATGTATGTTGGTTTTCTACAAAATGAACGACTGCAGGAACTGTTTCTCCTCTTCATCAACTCTTCATCAACTCCTCATCCACGACACTTCACTTCAGTCAAAAAAAAAGACAAAATGGAAACAACACTGACAGGACGCCAAGGAAAAATGAAAGAAGGCATCTTCATCATCATCATCATCATCACCTTCATCATCATCACCTTCATCATCATCACCGTCGTCACCTCTACCGTGTTCAGGGCAGCACCATCATCATCATCATCATCATCATCTCGTGCACTGTGCCAAATTGAAAAAGAAAACAAACTTGATTGTTCGTCCAAATGCAATAGTGCCATTTAGTTTGATGACAACGGTGACTGTTGGGTTTTTTATTTTGTTCTGGGGAAAAAAGGAGGAAACTGAAGTTTGGTTTCACCAAAGTAAAACGGCATCAATAATGAGAAAAAGAGTTCGACTGTTATCAGAAAAATGATGAAGATGAAAACAGGAGAGAAGGTTCTTCTTCACTGACCTTTAACCTGATTATTTGCCTTGTGAGTGTTACTCTACAGTTTGATCAGCAGCGACACGTGCTGATTGGACAGACCACTGGTACCAAAAGACTTTTTCTTCTTTTCATCTGAAATTAAGGTCAGGACTAAAAAAAATCAAATTCCAAACTGACGGATCTCCTCAGAAAAATAATTTTCAACAAGAAGTTTATCCAGTTGTAAAAGACAATAATTATTTCAAAAACATAAAGTAGAAGAATTAACACTCAGGTAAAAAAAAAACAATGAGAATTAGGAATTAAAAAAATATCACTTTTAGGAATACAGACAGAAACAATAAAAAAGTTGTCAAACTTCTGAGTAAAGTTGCTTTCACAAAAATTCAGGCTTAAAAAAAACGACAGACTTTAATCTCAGAATTCCGACTTCTAAAGGTTTTGTTTCTCCAGAGGAGGTGAAACAAGTTCCCGTCATGTCACAGCTGTTGTTGGTGAACAGGTGACAGATCAGTGTAGTAGTACTACAGTAGTACTACAGTAGTACTACAGTAGTACTACAGTAGTACTCCAGTCCAGTGTCAGTACATGGTTAATGTGAAAGCACAAGTGTTCCGGCTGTTTGACCCGTTTGCACATATCTGTAAAAAAGAACGACAACTACTGACAGACGGACAGAGTGGCTGCTGAAGACGGTGATTATTTTAGAAATCACTTTTCACAGGGACCAGTGTCAGCCACACACACACACACACACACACACACACACAGTCACAGTCCTTTAAAGAGACTTACCCAGCAGAATATTCCAAAGAAGCAGGACGTTTGTAGTGTTGTGTGAATATAAACGGCCGTGAAGCTCCACACGGTGAATATATCCTGGTCAAACACACAGTCACACCTTCTAACACGACTACAAGTTGACAAAGCCTCGGTCAGTGTTTCCTTTCTGTTGTGTACATAGAAGTATTTGTGCGTAATGTTGTGTGTTTGTTTAAGGGCCTTGTGCAAGATGTGTAGTAGAGATAGTACTGAAACTAGAGCGTGAACACTGCTGATATTTGCCCCACACTGCCTTCCTGCTCACTTCAGCCCACACGGCACATTCTCCCTCAGCACCTGGAGCGTTTGAGTTCTCATCAGCCACGTGGAAACAGACGTCTGAGCGCTCGCCTTTGATTTAATTACCCAAACAGTTTGACGCCGGGGGAAACGTGGAAGATCAATTTGAGCGACTAACGCAGACTAAAGTCACTGTCTGTTTTCATTTTCTACTGAAAATGGAAACCATATTTCTGGGCCATACTCGAGCGCAGTGATAGAACTCGCGTGTCTGGGTGTGAAATCTGAAGCTGGAGGTAAGCACAGAGAGTGGAAACAGAAGGAAACCATTGACCTGCCTGGAAAAAAAGTGCAACTAAATTTGCACTGCACCTCCCTCCTCAACTCAGAGTGGAATCTCTCCTGCTCAGACAGGAAGTAGTCCAGCACACAGATCCCTGTCAAAACGCAGCATTTGCTACAATTTTGGTTTTGGGTTTTTGCGCAAAACTTCTAGGCATTTACTGCTGTTTTAAATCTATGCTGAAGTGAATCAGACACATTCCATCCCATGAGCAGAACTTAGAAAGTCGAACTTTGTTCAGTCCTCGGCCAAGAATGATCAAACCAACCTGAATGTGACACAGTTGCTTTTATGTGTTTGATGGGTAAAACTGTCAACATCCTGTCAAAGGCCTTCAGACTTCACGAGGCTCCGCCTTCACCTCGGCGCCACACTCACGGACTGTGTATAAGAAACGGACGTTTCCTTCTTCTTACAAAGTTTAGTTCCAAAAGTAAAAGTCTGGAAAAGACATGACCAGTATCTGTTGGTTTCTGACCAGATATGTCTAGAATAAAATTTAAATTACGTTTTAAAAATAGTTTCTGACCAGATATGTCTAGAATAAAGTTTTTATTTAAATTACCTTTTAAAAATGAAACATGTTTCTGTAGAGTTTATGGCCTTAGTTTAGAGTTTATAAACTATTTTTTGTTTCCTGTCAGACTTCAGTGGCTGCAGTACTGGACCGACTCAGTTTTATATCCATTTCTTATACACACTCCGTGACTAAACCTACCACACACCAGTGACCTCGCCATCTGTCAATGGGCAAACGTGTAACTCTGCAGTGCACCACTAGGGGTCGCACCTTTACCACCTCCACCTTAACCTCGGAGCCGCTCCCACCTCCACACAGAGCTCGTGTCAAACGTGATGCTATGCACATATGGGCGTCGTAGTGACGGCTGAACAACAACGACGTCACTGCTGCGGTGACGCCAGTAATCAATGCCATTCCACCTTAACAGTCAGTACTTCAACAGGGTTGAATGCTGTGCCGTCGATGTTGTACATAGTGACCACTGAGATGCTCGTCGTTCTAAAAGCCACGGCTCCGTCTGTGACTTTAGTCCTGAGTCTGAGTGGATCCTCAGTCGAACTACACACTGTACTGGACATGAATGTATTCTCACCTTCAGCGCTCGACTTCCCCTCCACTGGTGCAAGTTGTTCATCCTTCGTCAGGGTTTTGTTTCAGGGGTCCGACCACCAGGGGGCAGCACAGAGGAGGTAGTCAATCACCTGTGTGGCGTGTCCGTGGGCTGTGCCGTGGGGCAGGGCGACAGCTCTGCCTCAGTGAGTGACTGACTCCATCAGCGTAGAGTAACTGAGTAACTGAGTAACTGAGTAACTGAGTAACTATTAGACAAATGTGGTCTTGCCTGCATGATTCCTTTTTTTTTTAACTGTCGTGTACAAATAACATTGTGAACCGTATTTTTTGTATCACTGAGATTGTGACTGTTGTTTTATTATAATGTACATAAAAAGCACTTTATTTTAATTTTCTAAGATAAGTGAATAAAATAAACCTGTTTTGAGACGTGCGCTCGTCTGTCTGGTTTACTTTTTAAAACTGTCCTAAAGTTAATGATGGGTTATTGTTTTTAGGTTAATGAATGTGAGACAATTTATTTGTTACTGTCCCAGTCCCCCATGGACGAACTCCCTGGACCATTTAGGGGTCACAGGCCCCTGGTTGAAGACCTCTGCATTAAAGCATGTCGTTTGTCCTGGTCTTGGTGGTGAACTGGTCAAATGTTAGTGAAATTCAAGACCCCAGGGTTGACGATGATTGCTGTAAGGCGCGAGAACAAACCACCCGTACATATATGGACGTATTTCTGAGTTCTGGTTTGTTCAGCGCAGCTGTTGCAAATATTAAGAAACATCATCTGACTAATGACTACAGGCATTTACGTGGGACATCTGTAGACGTCCTGGCTGCTTGGAGGATTCCCAGTTTGTAATTATCATCACAAGAAGAAGAAGAAGAATCAGTTTTATGAACCACATTAAAGCGAAGAAAAAAAGAAAACTCAGAAAATCAGCCGTTAATGTGAACCAACAGATGTTTGTCTCTGAAGGTTCTATTGTTTGTGTTGAGAACGTCGGTTCCTCTAGTTTCTGGTTTCATGTTGACCATCTGGTCTCTTGTTGGCAACAACAAGGATCTGTGTTTCTGCAGAAATCTCATCAGAGACTTCAAAGGAAATGTTGATTCCACAGATGTGTACGGTGACACCGTCAACCTTTTGTATTCTACCATCGGCCAATCGTTATTATCGGCTTGATATTAGCTCATTATGTCATATCCGTAAGAATCGATATTGGTTTTTACTCCGATAACACAATGTGCCCTTAAAATAGTTTTGGGGATAAACGGCTGTAGATTAAAGTGAAAGTCACTAGATGGCAGCATTGCAGATAAATAAATACATATTACCAGGCCTATATCGGACTATATCGACATATCAGATCAGTCGGTGCTTGGGGTGACATTTCTGTGATATATTTACCTTTAAATAAACATGTAGACGACGCTACAGGATTGACTGCTGATGCAGGAGCGCGTGCTGAGGCTCGTGTCAATGTCACCTTACTCTTGTCCTTGAACTCCAGGAATCCCAGGCCTCCTGACTGTGTGGAGGCTCTGATGGTCCAGGGAAAGAACATGAAGTGATGTTTTTGGCCTCTCGTCACTCACGCTCTGCTTTTGTTTTTTGTTTTTTTTTGTTTGTTTTTTTAATCTGACAGCCCCTCAGAGTGTTCCCTCCCCGCTGATGCCTGCTGACAGATTCCATTAACTTTCACCACCGTCCCCTCATCTGCTTTCACAGCACATTTGACAAAGAGCAAAGGCGGTCATTTGCTATTCATTATTAACAAATCACTGCAGCGTGAAAAGTGCCTTTTGTTTGCCACCGCCTCCAAAACAATTACAGTCTCCTTGCGTTCGCGGCTGTGATTGGATTGAGGATTTCATGGCAACGCTTCAGCAATGATGATATTGAAAAGAAACAGATTGAGTTTTCACAGTCAATAAAAGGAAATCAGTTCAGTCTCATCCTCTTAGGTCTCACACAGCTCACCCGGCCATGACCTGGAAAATCTCCTCTGGAAAGTGATCCACAAATAGAAGTGGAAAATTGTGTTTGTTTGTGTTATTGACAGTCCTGACTCTGTCTGTGTCTGTGTCTGTGGACACACTGACTGTTGTTGTTGTGCTGTGAATCCAAACGACATCTGAAAATATCCTACGGTAAAACTTTTTTATTCTGAGTCTAATTTGGTGAAGTTAAATCTTCTTTCTTTTCATCCATCATTTCACTTCCAAATCATTTATTTCACATTAGCAGCTGCTAATGGTGTTTGGAGAATTAGTACTGATGAAAACTGATGTGGTGGAAAGGAAATATAAACAAGAGAGTGAATTATTTATTTACCTTTATTTAACCAGGAAATCACATGTGGACTCTTTTTTAAAACATCTGCAAAGATGTCAACAATTTTGTGTTTTTCTGTCAATATGGGGTGCTATGTGTACATTAATAAGGAAAAAAAATAAACTTAAATGATTTTAGCAAAGAGCTGCAATATAACAAAGACTGAAAAATTTAAGGGGGTCTGAATACTATATATATATATATAGTGTGTACTGTGTACTGAAGAAATAATTTAATGTTATTTTTCCCTGTGACTTGGTAGAAACTAAGACACGAAGAGCTGAGACGAATGCCTTGGTGTGGGCTCTACTGCCACCCTGTGGTCAAAGTGTTTCCGCATCCTCGTGCTGTTATTGGCCGCTGACACACCTGGCCCAGTTCCAGTGACTCTGGCAGAGTCCGTGCAGTGTTACACAACACAGATGCAGCCCTTCCTTAAACCACAGCTCTGTGGGCGGGTGTTATCGGCTCCGTGGTCCGTGCTGAGCTGCATGTAAACACTGAACCAGCGCCGGTTCACGTGAGTGTAAACGTCACTGCACTTGGACGTTGACGTCAAATATTTATGCAGTTTAGACTCGGACATTTACAGTCGTCCTGAAGATAGACTTGTATTTTTAATCCATCTATCATATAGTTAAGAGTATCATCAGTGTAAAACATTAAGTGGGAGCAGCTACATGGATAACATACATATATGAGAGATATTTTAGGATGATTTATTTTATGTACAAATTCATTTAAAGACGGTTTTTGTTTGTTTGTTTGTTTGTTATAATAGAGCACACGTTCTGCTAATAAAAACTGCAATCATTCGATGTTGATGTTAGAAAGTTTCAGATGATTTCACTGAGGGAGTATTTTTTCCCCTGCAGATTGGAGTTTCTTTTTTTCTTTGTCATGAATCTATAGTTTTTAACTTCAGAGATTCCGTGGAGACTAAGTCAGGGCTCCGTGAAGGCCAGTCTGTGACTCCGACTTCTGCTTTCGGAGATACATTTTTTTTCCAGGAACAAAGTATTCTTTAAGTTAGTTGTCAGATGGCAAATACATTCTACATATTTCTGTCTTCATAATTCTTTTCACCAGTAAAATGTCCAGACGTGGACATACTTTGGTTTCCTGTGAGGACGGTGTTCTTTGGGTTCAGTGTCTCTCCCCATGTTCTGCAAACACAGGCAGCATCTTTGCAGGTTATTTATTTGTTGATATGTTTCAGGTTGTCGTGTTTTTATGCTCCAGTCTGGCTTGAATACTTTGTTGATTGTTTGAATATTTGTGTCTTTTATCTCAGCTGTCCTCCGTGTGCTTTTACAACAGTTTTCTGTCTACAGAACCCAAAGAAACCTTGATTATTCACACACTGTACCACCATTTTACACACAGTAACTTCACATTTTGTTTTCTCCCAGTTATTCTTTAGTAAAATCCATTCCTTAAGATAAAACACTACGTATTTAAACACAAACATTCAAAGTCATTCAAGCAAACATGAACTAAAAAGATACACTTTATTTGAAACCAGCGAGGGACATTTTTGTACAAAAATACACACGTGTTACGTTGATGCTTCGTGTCGAGGATTGTTCATCTTTCTCCTGCTGCTCAGACAATGGTCCACTGCATGCAGCACCACCAATTGACAATCGATAACTTGCTGAGATACATTTTACCAAGTAAATTAACAAATCCAAAAAAACAATGTCATTTGCCACAGGGAAGAAGGTAGGATCCTAGATTGTTGAGTCTAGACAAAAATGACAGATCCTTTTTCATAATTATCAGGAGGAATGCTGAACACCAGATGCTCTGGAAACATCAAGCTGCTCCATTCCAACTTCATTCTCTACTTGGACTGTGTGCTGCTTTTCCCAGCCTCGTCGGCCTTTTTCTGCTTCTGTTTCATTATCTCGGCATCCCTGGAAAAAATGCCAGAAGAAAACGAACGTTAGTCCAAACACAAGGCTTGTTGTTTCTCACCACACACAGTATACGTTAACAAGGTATTTAATACACCCTCAGACCATCAGAAACACACTGTATGAGGAAAGATCTAGAGTAGAGTCAGACAGACAGACAGACAGACAGACAGGCAGACAGGCAGACAGAGACATGGTATGTAGCCCACCTCTGCTTGCGTGCAGCAGCAGACAGCCCATCTTCGTTCCTCTTCCCTTTACCAGTTTCATTCTGCTTCTTGGCATTCTTCTGGCGAGCGAGTTCACGTTGGTTTCCTCCTGCAAGGGGAGAGACGACGGCACGGCTCAGGTGACCACGAACATGTGGAACATGAGATACATACACACGAGCAACATTTATGAATGCTAATTCAGAGTTGTGTGTTTTAGTTGTGTGGAGCGACAACACAATTTTGAATGTTTTTTTCTGCCAACAAAAGTCCAGATAAACTAAGTAACAATATGGTTTAATTTGTGACAATATTATCAGTGAATGGTACCATGTGCACAAATGATTTTTTTAATTTATTAAATATAAAGTCACAATATTACCAAGCTAAGGCACAACCGCCCATCATGGTGAAGAAGGAAAAAAGACATTTCCTGCTTCACCTGCAGCTCAACCTCAGAGCTTTTATTGTCCTAGATAAGAGTCCTTTTCTAAACGTTGACTCAAATCAAAATGTTCTTTATACAATAGCTCAATATGAGCTGAAGTTGAACTTGCAGCCGTACAAACATGAGCTCCATCCTGGCCCTTGAACCTGTTTTTTTTTTTTTTTTTTTTTGTTCCAGTCCTTAAAGTTATCCTCCTGTAGATCGTGATTTTGCCGGGGGACAAATTGTTAATATGTCGAATCAATGATCTACAGGTTTATGGTTCACCTATTTAAACAATGTTACACAATTGAATTGTTTTCAATTACTGGTTGTTTCCATGGTGTCAAACCCACACGTGAAAAACAACAATAATTTCCTGTTCTTTTTTTTATATGTCCTAAAGGTAAAGGCGATCGTAGATCTTATGAGGACAATGTATCACTAGACCACAAGACACTCGAGGACGGTTTTATAAAGTCCAGAGCCGAGACCGTCAGAACGGTGTGGCAGCAGCCGACGTGGCAGAGAGGCGCTGCTGAGCAGCTCCAGGACGGACAAAAGCTCAAGAAGCCGCGGAGCATCCTCCACTACTGTGTCGCAGAAAAGACAGGTGAGAGGAAATGACGAGTCACGTCTGGTTCGAAGGACGAGCAGAGAAACAATGTTGACAAGCGGGGCCACAAAAAAAACCCAAACATTTTCAGTCAACAGTCGACCGGGTTCTTGTTCTGTGACAGGCCGAGGATCGGACTAACTACTGGACAACAACGAGAACAACAACTCGTTGTCCAAGACAAACATAAATATGTTCGGGGCTTTAACAGATTAGTGTCGTAAATGACGCAACGATAGTCAATTTTCTTCCATCCCTAACACAATCATGGCTCTGTTTATGCAACCAAAACAAGAGTGTAGTAACGTAAGGGACTGGCGGTGTCAGCAAATAGACGGAGCCCAGGTCGGACAGTGTCCGTGACGTGAAATCCCGTATAAAACGTGAAGCACGTACAACGTCACATAAAGCGGAGTATAACATATCTCAAAAAGGTAAAATGTCTGACGATACTCACTGGTCATTGTTATAAATGATACCTCCTTCTCCGAATAGTCGAGAAAAGCTCAGCCACAGGGCCGCTGGCTCCCGTTTCTCCAATCGCTGTTGTTGCTGTTTTCTCTGTTCTCGTCCCAATGTGTCTGGCGTCAAACCTACGCGAGACTTCCACGAGAACCAGAACATTCCGTCGACTAGGCTTTCAATGCGCAGGCGCACAAGTAGGCGTTCTTGATCATGATATGATTATAATTGATCATTTTAACATTTAAAAAATGCATCGGGCCTCTTTAAAAGTAACTTGTAACTGGATTTAAGAATGTTTAGTATCGTTTACCGTCCTGTCACACAATAGTAACAATTCAATCTTATATTAATCATATGCTTAAGATTTAATCTTAAGTGAAACTTAGAAAAGAGTCCATGTGAAGCCACAGGTATTTTTTTATTATTTAAAATATTCAGTTCAAATATTATTATTATTATTGTAGTTGTTGTTATTATTATTATTATTATTATTATTATTATTATTATTATTATTATTATATACACCACTGGAGAAGCCTTTAGGTGAGAGGTTCAACACCTTGTAGAAGCCAAGATAGTCCAGTTCCATCAACTTAACTGCTTCAGATTCTTCTTCAGTGAGTGTGCAAATCAGTAGTTTTTATTTCTTTATTGAATTTTTGTCAAATGATGCAATAAATCAAGATTAATCACAGGATATCATTACAAATAAATCTTTTCATTGTTACAGAGCACACCTTTTGACTACTGATTATGATCCAAACACGGTGTTATGATGTGTTTCACCAAACAGAAATACAACTAGCCACCAAGAGTTTAAAGAACTTTTCATAATTTCTGCAGCATATCATTGTACAGCAGTGTTTCCCAACCTTCTTTGAGCCGTGACACATGTTGTACATTAGTAAAATCACATGGTTCAAACGAAAATGTAATGAATATATAATGATCTTCTAGTTTCATTTTACTCACAATATACCTACTCAAATCTGAGCCTGTTTAGTTGAACAAAATGTTGATTTACTCACAGGAGTTGAAGAAAGACGCTCACAAAGATCTCTCTATTGTTTAGCCATTTGCTGCCATCTAGTGAAAGGTATTTACTTCAAAAGGGTTTTTTTTCCACCTAACATGTTATGACTTCTCATGTGCTGCCACACAGTGGTTAGGAATCACTGCTGTGTATGATATTGCAACAAATGTGGTGAACGGTGGTCTACCATGGCTGATCTTCTGGGTCATCATCAACAAAGACCTCCCCAGTGGTTGCATAGTCGAGGGACCCCCAGTTGAACACATCTCCTGGGGTGAATTGTTTGCTCTTCATGTAGCGTTGGACTTCAATGGGAGACAGGACGTTGTCCCACACGTGGAGATCAGAGATCATACCGACAAAAGACTGAGACGCAACAAAACCTCCACCATGAGCGTCTTGTTCTTGACCCAGAATGGTGATGGGATGACCTCTGATGGGCGTTCCTGATATGAGGAATTTCTTCACACTTGGTTTACCATCTATCCACAGCTGAGCCAGTCCGTCACCAGACTCCCAGGTGACACACAGAGAGTGCCACGTGTTCTCTGGCATTGGCAGTGATGTGAATTCTACACTGTGGTCCAAGGCAAAGATTCTGAGGACATCAAACCTGGTTTTGTAGATCAGCATGGCGTTAAAATTTGTTGGAGTAGCCAAGGAGAAGAGACTGTAGGTTCTCGTCTGATCGGAGATAAACCTGGACAGGAAAAGACATTTGTAGAAAACTGAGGCAAAAAACATTTATGTTGAGCAGTGGTGACCAAAGTGGGGGGTGGGGACCCTGGAGGTGCAGAGTTATCACAGGGAGGTGTAGGAAGGCAAAGAATTAATTTTATTTATTTGTCACACATTTGGAAAATTGCAATGATTTATAATTTGATTTTCTTTGTTTTCTAGCAGTTTTGTAGGAATTAAAATACATCTACCAAAGGGAGGCGCTGCTGTAGAGGTACAAATGTAGAGCCGTTCATATTTTTAGTAATTTCCTTTTTGGCTGAATTCTAGTTCTATGAAAAAGAATTAACAGATAACATAACAGTGTGTAAATTCCGTGTGCAGTACCTCATACAGATGGTGAGGGCGGTAAACTCGGTTTTGGGTGTCAGGAGTTTTATGTGATCCGTGTCGGTCTCCTTGGGGAAAATAAATGCTTTTCCTGATAGATCTGCACAGAGGTGGAAGAGAGTGAAGAAGAATACAGATTACATACCAAAAAAAAAACAACTCAATACTTTTGTTAACACATATCTTTAGGAATTTTTCTTTAAAAAAATGATTTTTAATTCATTGTTTTCTAATTCGATCCTTTGTTTATTGATATATTCTCAGATGTGCCACTCTTGTCAGTTTGAAGACATTTTGTTTAATATAAAGAGATTTGTTTCCGTTTGACTAGAAATTAGCCTTTAGTCGTATCAGGACGACACTTGGCAACGGTTGACGTACCTATGTGAGCAGCACATGTTGCAAGAGCAACAACCAAACAGAACAGTCTCTCCATCTGGAATTTGAGAACAGTCAGTTTTAGTGTCACTTTTAGATGAAAACTTTCATTCAGAGATCAGAAAAGCTCAAAAAATAACATTCTTTAAATTTCCCATCATCTAACCTCATAATCTCATATTTGTTCTACATACAAGAGGAGAGAATCATCCACAAATCATCCATAGCCAAGCCAGTTTTGAAGTAACAACGTTTTGTCATGGTATATTTACCTTGTATTGATTTCCTTTCACTCTTAGACTGGAAAACCAAGTGTATGCTGTGCAGGACGTTCGTCCAGTGTCGTATTTATACAGGATATGATCCCTCCCAGTTGATCGCTCTTTACAGTTTATTTTTGTTTTTTCACATTTTACCTCAGGTGACAAACAGGCATCAGTCGTCATCCTGGAGTCTATCACCTTTTGTTGCTGTTTGTTTGTGCATTCTCACGCAACTCTGACTTCCCTTAATGCCTCTGCTATATATACATACACATATATATATACACATATAAAAGAGTTTCTAACTTGACTTACATTTCAGGTCTATGGGAAAATGAAACAAATTCCGTTTATTTATATTCTATTCCTAATCCTGTTCAGGGTTTTCAGGCTGATCCATCACAGGGTCGTAGAGAGAGACTCACATTCAACCACAATCTGATCTCTACAACGTGAGACTATGTTCAGGCTACAAACAACTAAACAATTATTGACAATAATAAAGAAAAAACAGTCATTGACATGTTTATATTTCATATCTGAATATCTAAAGAAAATACCAGAATTTAATGTCAAAGGTTAAAGCAGGGGTCACCGACCTTTCTTTAAACTGAGACCTATGTAAACGGTACTGACAAATCCGAAGAGCTACGTTTTGATACACACTTGAATGATGTAATCATCATTTTGTAACCAATCACTCTGCACTGTCAGGTTCTGGGGCGTCCAGTAGGAGGCGCTCTTCTTACCGTGATAACTGAACCCACTTGTACAAATATAAATGTAACTGATTCAGCACGTCTGGTCTTGTTGGCCAGTTTTACTGCTAGAACCTACCCCACCACGGGCTCCATGAGGGGCACCCAGGTGGTACCACGTTGGTACGAACGACTGATGACGACTCAATGTTTCTCTAACTGTAATTGTTCTCTACGTGTGTCTCAGCAGATTCCATGAAAATATGAAAATAATAAGTAAAAATAACACGCATACAAATGAACACACGGACACGCAGGTCCCACTGTGGTTAAATTCAAAAATCCAAATGTAAATAACATCACTGACTTTTGTACTTGACCTGACGAAGGCAAAACAAATGGAAAACAGCTACGTTAGCAAACCTCAGCCATATTTAGCTTAACCGCATGACGTGTCCCTAGTGTCCAAACACGGTTCTACAGCCCTGGCTGTGAGTGTCATTGACTCTGGCCATGATTGGTACTGCAGGGAGAGAGGAAGAGGCATTTACACCAAAACACATTGAAACAAAATCCATTGATAAAGTTGTGAGGGTGAAAAGACACACAGGAAATAATTACATTGATATGTTTTGATATGAAATATTATTATAGTCATTTTCTCATTAAGTTCTAAAATGGGTCGTTTTATTATGATTATTATGATTATTATGATGATGATTATGGTTATTAGTCTTATTGCGCTCGTTAAGGCAGTTAAAATCCTAAAGGCATTCAATTGTCTTGTAAGTGTTCGACAACACATGACCAGCAGATGGCAGGCTGCGCTCGGAAAACGTTACCTCGACGAACTAATCATTTCCACTGCACTAGAAAATAATATATTTAAGTAGATAATCGTGAATAAAATTTAATGTTCAGAAATGGGAAATTGTATTAATCAGTTTAATTAGTGATGTAATTTTAACTTTATCTAAAATGTCTTATTGTGTTTTGATCCGTTCAGTGTAACGATCACTCATGATGAATGAATTCGCTGAGAACAGATTTCTCTGCAGCTTCACTCTGAACAGTTTAGTCAAACACGTCCATTTGTCTGATTGAACGAGTCGACACAGACACGTAAACAGTTACAAAGGTTTAAAGGTTCAGTCCAGGAAGTTGTCACAGAGATGTTTATAAAGACACGAAGACGTCATTCAACGAAAAGCTGATAATTTATGTTTTCGCTGGAAAAATAAATTAAAGTCTCAGAGTGAGGAGCGGACTGGGTTCTGGCTGAAGACTCGAACTCTATTTTAAGAACATAATTACTGTTTGAAAACAATGAGCCACCAGACTGTAACTGCTGCTGTTACTGCTGTTACTGCTGCTGCTGTTACTGCTGTTACTGCTGCTGTAACTGCTGTTACTGCTGCTGCTGCTGTTACTGCTGTAACTGCTGCTGTTACTTCTGCTGCTGCTGTTACTGCTGCTGTTACTGCTGTTACTGCTGCTGCTGCTGTAACTGCTGATACTGTTGCTGCTGCTGTTACTGTTGTTACTGCTGCTGCTGCTGCTGTTACTGCTGCTGCTGCTGCTGTTACTGTTGTTGCTGCTGCTGCTGTTGTTACTGCTGCTGCTGCTGTTACTGCTGTAACTGCTGCTGTTACTTCTGCTGCTGCTGTTACTGCTGCTGTTACTGCTGTTACTGCTGCTGCTGCAGTGATCCAGTCAGAATTCAGTAAAACCCAGAGGTCAGTCCTGATCCACTCCTCAGTATAAACTTATTCTTCAGTTCAGTTCAGTTTAATACATTGCAGTGATGTTATGATCAGTGTCGTTTAAACAGTGATTCTTTCTTACTCTACAAAGCACTGAATAAAGTCAGACACATTATTTATGGATTTTGGAGGAGGAGGTCTGAGTCTCTTTCATTTTGAATATTTCCTTTATGTGTCACATCAGTTCAGGAGAATTGAACTGATTTGGACTGGTTTTTATTGTCATTTATGAGCAGAGGAAAGTTTTATTTTTACTACTCTTTTTCCTTTTTTTTTTTTTCCTTTGGCCACTGGTGGCACTGGTACTTAGGATTGAGAAGGGCAGCAGCTTTTATTGACTCACAGATTGTTGACTCTGGCTTCATGCCTAAAGTTCGTCCACGGTGTCGTATCTGGAGCGTGGACATTTCTGTGAGGCCTGGTTCTTCTTCCTGCTCACAGTCCGACCTCTGAACATCTGAACATCTGAACATCTGAACATCTGAACATCTGAACATGTGAACACGGTGCAGCTGGTGTTTGGTCCTAAACCTGATGTCAGTAGCTGTTGAGAAATCTGCTGTGGTTTTCTGTTGAGCACACAGGAGGACTCATATTTCGTTTTATACGCTGGCACCGCACCAGCCCGTGTCAGATGGTACCTTTCCCCCACACAGATTGAGAAACTCTGGCCTGGTGAACGACCGCCACATGTGCAGTGGAGCGTGAAGACTTTAACAGCGTGTAGAACAGCGTGTAGAACAGTGCGGTCACTTTATTGGCCTGGTGGCGACACAGAGCGGCTCAGGATGTCTGACTGGGACTTGTTTTGCCCACAGCTGCCCTCAGAGGCAGCTTCTATTTCTGTCTCCCACTGTCATTACCAGCACCTGCTCATTCTGACAGTGTGGACTGGGTCCCTGCTGCTCTCTTCATCTATACAGTTCAACACTCGGCTGAAGGGGGCGCCAAAGGGGGGGGGGGGTCCATAGATTATCTAACTGATGTTGAGTTTTAATCAAAATATGAACTGACACTGTTGACAACCAACAGTTCATTGTCCAGAACAGGTAACAATAACATTTCTATTTCAAACATCCATCTGTGATACAGTCTAAATACAAACCAGTGAGGGTTTTTTTTTTTTACAGTTTTTGGATTTCATTGTCTGATTTTCCTTTTCATGATCCAGAAATATTTTTATTATGAGACAAATTTGTCCACGGACCAGGCTTAAAAAAACAGATGCAGAATTCTGTGTTTGCTTCTTATTTTTGGCTGAAGAAAATCTATTGTCTTGTTTTTCTGCCTCTTTTTTTTGGTGTTCAATTCTGTTGTCAAGACACAGGATGAATTTTAAGAAAATGAACGTGTTAATTGTCTTTAATTGTCCATTAATTGTTACGTTTTCTTTTGGTTATTTTAACCTACGACCTACAGTCGACCCTGTTTAAATCTGTTCTGATGCTGATCCTGAAATAACCAAACCCCTGTCCCTCCTGTCCTTCTTGTCCCTCCTGTCCCTCCTGTCCTTCTTGTCCCTCCTGTCCCTCCTGTCCTTCTTGTCCCTCCTGTCCCTCCTGTCCTTCTTGTCCCTCCTGTCCCTCCTGTCCTTCTTGTCCCTCCTGTCCCTCCTGTCCTTCTTGTCCCTCCTGTCCCTCCTGTCCTTCTTGTCCCTCCTGTCCCTCCTGTCCTTCTTGTCCCTCCTGTCCCTCCTGTCCTTCTTGTCCCTCCTGTCCCTCCTGTCCTTCTTGTCCCTCCTGTCCCTCCTGTCCTTCTTGTCCCTCCTGTCCCTCCTGTCCTTCTTGTCCCTCCTGTCCCTCCTGTCCTTCTTGTCCCTCCTGTCCCTCCTGTCCTTCTTGTCCCTCCTGTCCCTCCTGTCCTTCTTGTCCCTCCTGTCCCTCCTGTCCTTCTTGTCCCTCCTGTCCCCCGTCCCTCCTGTCCTTCTTGCCCCTCCTGTCCCTCTTGTCCCTCCTGTCCCTCCTGTCCAGAGCTCATTTTAACACCAGTTCATGCTGCAGCGACTGTGGCCACAGTTTCTCTTCTTCTCTCTGAGACGTTTCCACAGACAGGTCCAGGTTCACGGTCCAGGTTCAGGTCCAGGTTCAGGTCCAGGTTCAGGTTCAGGTCCAGGTTCAGGTCCAGGATCAGAAACACGTCTGAGGGAGACAGAGGAGCTGGAGGAGTACTTTGATACAGCTGGATGTTTCTTGGGGTCAGAGTAAGACGTGTTCGTCAGTATCAGTGTCTACATTATGCAACACTTCAACTCTGCACCAGACATTAGGTTTTCAGCAGCTCAAACCCACAGCGTCTTCTTCTGGAGGACAACACTCAAACTGGCTGCAGTGTGTGTCATTCCTGAAATAATTGTTTCAGTAAAGCAGAGCAAAGAAGAACCAGTGTGGTCTGGTTCACGTCACTGTCACCAGACCTAACGCTGTGTCACCTGTGGACCAGGACTGAGCCTGACACTGTAGGGAATCAAACAGGACCCAGGAACAAAAGAGGTCACGTGACCGTGTGCTTCTGAAGAGCAGATGTTGTAATGATTGACACTGAGCTGTGGAAACAGCTGGAGATGAGGAGGATCAGGAGGAAGAGGAGGAGGAAGAGGAGGAGCAGTGGAAACTGTAAAAATGTCTCAAACACAGGCAGAAAATGTTCTGTAAAAGAATGAAACGTTAGTGACTGAGGAGCAGGTGAAGGTAGTACTGTAGTACTATAGTACTGTACTACTGTGGTACTGTAGTACTGTGTTCCGTCTCTACTTTGCAGTTTTTCTTAGAACATAATGTTTCTCAACCCATGGTTCTGTTCATGAACCTTGGACCAGGGTTAGCTGCAGTATTTTTATTCTACAAATATAGTCTGACTGTTGGCTCCTCACTCTCTGAGTGGATGTAAAATACAGTGTCTGTGTCTGTGTCTGTGTCTGTGTCTGTGTCTGTGTCTGTGTCTGTTAGCCCACACAGACTGGTGACCAGTCCACAGAGAACCCTGTGTCAGTGGAGAGTCACTGCAGCTGCAGCAAAGGTTGAATCTACAAAACCTTATTATTTTATTACAGTAAGTAACAAGAACGACAACAAAAATAAACCCTGTGTCTGTTAGCCCACACAGACTGGTGACCAGTCCACAGAGAACCCTGTGTCAGTGGAGAGCCACTGCAGCTGCAGCAAAGGTTGAAGGTTGAGAGTAAGGTTGAAAACCTTATTATTTTATTACAGTAAGTAACAAGAACGACAACAAAAATAAACCCAAATAAACGTCCGGCGACAGATGAACAGACAGTCTGTCAGTGAGTCAGGGTGTTAATGGTACAGTACAACATCAATCCTCCGACGTTCCCAGAAGAGCGACTCTAAAAGTGGCATCCCATATGTGTTAGCCTCCTCCATGGCAACTGATCTGTACCAGTGCCTCAATTAGCTGAGTGTTAGGACACGTGGGACATCCATCTCTGTCTGGAGACAAGGTTCGACGGGGGGGGGGGGAACACCCGCAGACAAATATTGTGAAGGGAGCAGGCTGATGTTTGGAGCTGTTCCCAGGACTCCTCGGCTCTGAGAGCCAGGATAATGTGGATAATCATCAGCACTTAACAGAGGTTACAGTTTGATGCTGGTGTAACAGAAATGATACCACGAAGCAGGCAGAGGCACGACCAAATGTAAAAAAAAACAAACAAAAAAACAAACAAAGTAAAACATGAACACAATCTTTAGATTTTCACAGTGAAACACAACAGTTTAGAACAGAGAAATGTTGATTTGACACGGACTGAAACCTGAAACAGATGTCCTTCCTGTCATGTTTCATTCTTACTCAGAAATCCAAATTCTGGTTCTTTGTTTTTCTCACACCTGCAGTTGGTTGGAGTTCCACCACGTCTCTTGTCGTTCTGACTCCCACCATACAGACCTACAGATCTACAGATGTTGATGCAAATGTAGACTCATTCTCACCAACATTTAAACCAAATGACTGAAAGTCACACATCAAGCATCAGTGCATTTATCTCAGACCAGCGTCTTTGTCTTTGTCTTTGTCTTTGTCTTATGGAGCTCAGTGCTGTTGAAAGAGCTTCATTTTTTGTGTTTAAATATTTAATAGAAGAAAAGAAAAAGCCAGTGAGTCCAAGACAAATACTTCACTCATTATGTTCTTTTTGAGGTTTAAAGGATGACTGTGACAGTGATGATGATGATGATGATGATGAACAGTGGTTGACGATGACGAAGACGCAATTAAAAAGTGCCACAATTAAATGACGCTGCACCGTCAGGGAGTTTAAAGCACAGGTATGTGTGTGTGTGTGTGTGTGTGTACAAGCCGTGGTGACGGTGACGTTGATTAACGATGTATAGAAATATCGTTAGCTTTAACCATTCAGACAGGCTGTGATGTCAGCTGTGATGTCATCAGCGGTGGATTTCAGGGCAGCTCTTGTCGGTCTGACTGATCGGTCGCACCTGCAGCCTCACTGTAAAACTGAGGCTGTAAAAAACACCTGGGTTCTGCCTGTGTGTGTGTGTGTGTGTGTGTGTGTGTGTAGCTCCTCAGAACAGCTCCTGTCTTGTGGGAAAAAAAGTTTTCTTTTGTTGTTTTTTTTTTCTGCTAATTTTTACTTTAAAGAACAAACAGAAACATCTCAACAGAGACGGCGCTGACTCAGCCGTCATGGCTGTGGTCAACACCACCACCTCCAGATGGTTGCTTTTTTCCCCCCAAATATTTTTCTTTGCGGTGTCGTCTCTGCCACTACTAAAACAGTCAACATGAACACATTGTCTGCTGAGAGCAGCTTTTAGCTTTTATCTGTGTACGTCTCAGTGCACGGAGTGGATGACTCAGAGATCTCAGGCGTCTGTGTAACGTGTAACGTGTAACATGTAACGTGTAACACTGGAGACAGGGTCTGAGTTTAGAATCAGGATTTCTGGAGTTCACTTAAGTGAAAAAGAAAAACATGGTTTCCATTGGCTGACACTGACTTCAATGATTCATAAAGGACGCGGTCGAACATCTTTAATGACGTTACAGTCAACAGTGTCCAGGGATTTTTAAGTCCACGTTGAAACAGCTTCAAGTAAAGCCTTGAAAATCTTTGGTATTTTAACAGCAAACAGTCCTTGATTATTTCCAGAACCTTTTTTTTTTTCCTGTTCCAGCTGAAACATGTGTTTACTGATACTTTCACCCTAAACATAACGTCCTTTTTACACAGATTCTGGGAACTCTTCGTGGCTCGTTGTTGTTTCTGTTTCTGTCCTGACGGGAACTCTCTCTGATTCCTCACGTCCCAGTTTGTTTACAGTGAGTTTACTGTGAGGAGAGCGGTCTGCTGAAAGGTCACCTGGTCCTGTGTGTGGGAGCGTCTGTCGTTAAAAAAGAAAACATGTCAGTGTGACTTGTTGGACAGACACGACCCTCTCTGCTCCTCACACTCCTCAGCTGTGGTGGAACTGGACCAACAACTCCAACCAACACAACTCTGTTCCTCCTACATCATTTAAAAGATAATCCCACTCCCCTTTCTGTGGCCTATAAATTGTACTAGGGGGCGCTGTAGTTTTTGGAAATGTGTTTCTGACTCGCTCAGTTTATTACCTCAGTTCAACCTCGCTTCAAACAACAACCATTAATAGACCGGTTCATTATCACTGAGACAGTGAAAATAAACCATGTTTTTCCATCAAGTCACTTGTTGTCTGTAAATCAGCAGACGTTTAAAAACAACAACATTAATTCCACTTAACTCTGATTTTTCTTTTCTATTTTTTTGTTCGTTTGTCTCCATGACATTAGCTCACACCCCCTCCCTCACAAACCGTTAGTGTGGTGAGGTGAGTTATTTTCAGATTTTCTTTTTCTTTCCATAACCTCCGGTCCTTGAACAGAACAGAGCGGTTTGTTCTGTAAAGATGATGATGATGATGATGATGATGAAGTCGATAACAGGACAAATAACACCAGGGTATGATGATGATGATGATGATGAAGTCAAAATAAACACCAAATAACAAATAACACCAGGCTCTGCCTGTTACAGGTGTCCTGACTCTCTGACCTCAGGTGTGAATCCTCTCTCCGGGGGAGGGGGGGGAATCACCGACCTTCTACACAGCAGATGGCAAACCACAGACAAAGAGTGGATGAGACAGATGAGCCAGGTGAAGAAGGGGGTGGGATGGGGGGGGGGGTAATCTCCCCTCTCCTCTTGTCTGCTCCAACAGACCAACAGACGCCGGTGGAAAACATCAGTGTTGAACGTTTTTATTTGACCTCAAACTAATGATCAATTTAAGAAAAAAAAAAAAGTCTTGTGACTTTAAATGTAGACCAACCCACCTGCTCCATGTTGCCCTGCAGTAACACCCCCTCCCCCCCCGCTCCTTTTGTACTTTCATTCAGGGAGTAGCTTACATGTCAGACTCATCTGTTTCTCAAACCTCCACCACCACTCGTTGGCGCTCTCACCGTTACACAAACACTTGTGTTGCTTAGACGTCCCGAACAATTCAGCCCGGTCGTGTTCTTGTCCTGTGAGACACGTGGCTCAACAGAACCAGGTCGAGTGTCCTCAGAAATAGGTTTATTTATTAACTGCTGCTGTTGTTGTTGGTGTTGGTTCTCCTGCTGCGTCTCAACAACTGAGAATCAGTGAAAAAAAAAAAAAAGAAAGGCAGAGAGGGAGGACCACCAGTTAGACCTGCACCGAGGCAGTGGTTTGAATCCAGACTGTTGGAGGTTGGAGGTCTGCCAGGTCTGCCTCTGTCCTCTGTCCTCTGTCCTCTGTCTTCTGTCCTCTGTCCTCTGTCCTCTGTCTTCTGTCCTCTGTCCTCTGTCCTCTGTCCTCTTGACCGCATGATTATCACCTGTTATTTTGACTAGTTAGTGGCCGCCTGATTATCACCTGTTATTTTGACACTTCCACCTGTTTATAGAGTAAATATAAGAGAGTGGACTAATCACCAACTAGTTAGTGTTTTCAGAACGCTGTCACTGACCAGTGAGAGTTTCCCTGTTGTTGTTTTCTTGTTTGTTTTTTTATGTGAATCACAGAGAAGTCACCAGACAGAAAGTGGAGCAACATTTATGATCAGCGTACGGTGTTCATCAAACCAAGTGTTTCTCTCATATCAGATCAACAACAGTTCATTTTGTGTGAAATCAGTGCAGTCATTAACCCGACCCAAATACTGCTTTGGTGAAGAGCAGCCAAACTGGCACCTGAATCCTGACCTGATTAGATTCAAACTGAAGAATGAAAGTTATGTGTTAGTGCTTCATTAAAACATCGTTACCCACTGATTGCACTCCTGACGTTCAATACTGTTGCCCTGTTCAATGAAATGTTAATAAGCACCTGTGCTGACCTAGTTACCTGCCACAGGGCGGCGTCCTGATGACAGTGTCATTAGATGACGAATTCTGGAAGACGGTCGTGAAGAGAATGAACGTCAGGTGTGTGATTTGTTTATTCAAGGACAGTGACTGGACAAACAGGCGGTGGACTCACGTTGACAGTTGGACTGTTACGATCGGTCTCTGTGATGTAACGTACTGTAACGCAGCTGCAGATGGTTCAATCAACAGAACGAGCAACCGTTGACCAAAAACAGTAATGAAACTGCGTCGACTCTTTGTCCAACTGTCAGCTGTCGGTCCAACACGTCTTCTCAGTCGTGTTTGTGTCTCTGCTGTGGTTTTAAATAACGACACATAATTATATAATAACTGTCCTCTTGACCGCATCTGGATTATTTAGTTTTAGGAAAGATTAAAAAAAAGAAACATCACATTTGTGATTTAAATGATTCACTACCTGGAAAAAAACAAAAACCAAAAACACTGACAGCTTCCAGTGTTTGTTTTTTCATGGGTGAAACGGCATCATATGTTTTGCATGGCTTAGTAAAAAAGTCTGCCAGTCATGGTTTTAAATAATTCAGAAGAAATAAAAGAAAGGCAAATATTGACTTTTTATTTACGCCCACGGTCGAACACACACACTTCAGGTCTTTATCCTAACTTTTGGAACTGGATTGATTTCCTAGATTTCTTATTTTGACATTTTACACCAACAATAATCAGTCACATTTGTAGAAACACATAAATGAAGAAAACGTTTTATCCTGATGATAATAAAACTACAACTACACATTTGTATTTTCCTACATATAATTTTTTTAAATTATTTTAATTTTAAATACATTCCTGAATATCGTTTCCTGATTGTCACTTGTACATTATTATTTCTGAGTCAATCCAACAAATCTCTAACGTCAGCGTGGAGCCACCACAGTTTACCAGCCGTGGGTTCACGCTGCTGCTCAAGCCCCGCCCCTGCCGTTACGTCACAGCTCGGAGCGTGCAGAGCCCAGGGAGGAAAGCAGCTTTAATTGTAGCAAAGCAGAGAGAAAAAGCCAGCGATGGCTTCGCTCAGGCAGGAGCAGCGATATGGACTGTACTGTGGGAGGAATGACAGAAACAACCACCGCCACAACAGCAACAACAACAGCCACAACAACAACAACAACAGGACGCTGTTCCACGTCAAACTGACAGACACGGCTCTCCGAGCACTGGAGGCTTATCAGAACCTGAAGGTACCTGTCTGTCTGTGTCTGTCTGTGTCTCTGTCTGTGTCTCTGTCTGTGTCTGTCGGTCAAAGTTGAGCTTTTATTTTTAAATCTTATCAAAGTTTAGTTGCTATATTAGTTTTGTTTAGTTTTAAACTTCTTCCGTTTGGCGGGCTTTGACGGTAAAAGGAGACTCGCTCCGCTGCACAGCGGTAGGGGGGGTGGGGGGGGGGGGGGGGGGGGGGGGGGGTGAGGGGTATCAGCTGAAACCTAGGGTTAAATATTTCAAGTCAAAGACAACTTTTTATATTTTTCGTTTTTATTTTGTGAAGTTTCTTCATAGAGAAGTGTTTTATGTCAATCACTGGGGTTTGTTATGTGTAAGGGACCATCGGGGGGCCGGGAACCCTAGGTTGGGAGTCACAGATGAATGAAATGTCTGACTTTATGACTTGTACACAACATACTTCATCAGATACTTCATATGTACTTTGTTCTTCCTCAGGGATCTTTACCAACTCAGCCGTCAATTTGTTTCAAGGGAAACCAAGGGGTGAGTTTGGTTTTGATTTTTATTTGATTTGATTTTTTTAAATCCTTGTATTTCTTACGTCTGTAAATGCATAAACCAGCAGTCACTGAAGTGAGGTTGAACCACTGCTGCTCTCAGAGCTCAGAGCTCAGAGCCGCTCGTCTCCAGCTGATCGAAGGCACAGAGGTTACTGGGTCAGACTGGAGACTGTGGAGAGGCTTTGTTATGTCAGTGAGCAGCGCTGGGAAAAGGAGGGGGGAGGGGAGGGGGGGAGACGGAGAGAGGGAGGGAAGACATGCACATGCAGAGAGAGAGAGAGAGACAGGAGTCAACAGAGCTGACAGGAGTGGAGTGAACCACCTCCACCACTGACATCTTTACAGTTAGGTAGAAAAATAAAAACATAATCTCATGTATGCATGTTACAAACACAAACCTTTTTTTAAAAAAAAAAACAAAAGTTTTTATCTGAGTTTTACAGCGTGACTTATATTTCTGCAGAGAACAAAGAGTTCATCTGAGCAGTGAACTGTCACAGATTTGTGTTTCATCTGCAGCAAAGATGGAAAACACACTCTTTACCAACTTTAACTGTTGTCATAAAAACAAGAGCCTGAACTAAAACTGACACTTGATGCTGTGTGTGTGTGTGTGTGTGTGTGTGTGTGTGTTATAATCAAATAGTTGTTGTTGTGTTTCTCTTGGAGAGACTACAGAGAAGTTCAATCTTAGGTTACAGACGGTACAGACTCTTCAACAGTTTTATTCTGGACCTAAAGGTTCAGGTTTGATCCAAGGTTTTAAGTTTGGGCCAGAGTTGGACTCAGAGCTGAGCCTGAAGTCTGGAGAACCAGAACCAGAACCAGTTTTATTGGCCAAGTATGAGCACATACAAGGATCTGACTCCATCTTAACATGGCTGCAGTGTTTGCTTTGATTATTATTCTTTATTTTCTTCTTTATTTGTGACTGAAGAAACGACTGTCGCTGCAGAAAACTCAACCCAAACCAAACAGAAACACACGACAACATCAAACTAATATGAAAGTCCTGGTAATGACTGAGGGATCGCAGTAAATTCCACAGCTCAGAGCTGGAGTTATTAACACAAATGAATGTTTACAGGTAATTACAGGAGCCGTAGTTTGATTACAGTCTGACATCATGACTTCAGTAAGCTTTAAATTCTCTGTCTGTCTGTCTGTCTGTCTGTCTGACTGTCTGACTGACTGTCTGTCTGTCTGACTGACTGACTGTCTGACTGACTGTCTGTCTGACTGTCTGACTGCCTGACTGACTGACTGACTGACTGTCTGACTGACTGACTGACTGACTGTCTGACTGACTGACTGACTGACTGTCTGACTGACTGACTGACTGACTGTCTGACTGACTGACTGACTGACTGTCTGACTGACTGACTGACTGACTATCTGACTGACTGACTGACTGTCTGACTGATTGACTGAATAGTTGTGTTGTTTTTGCACGTGTGTGTGTGTGTGTGTGTGTGTGTGTGTTGTTGGCGTCCACAGATCATTTCAGCTCTGACCAATCATCAATGTCTTTTTATCCTAAGATGCATTTGGGTATCTGTGTGTGTGTGTGTGTGTGTGTGTGTGTGTGTGTGTGTGTGTGTGTGTGGCCAGACATCATGTTTATTCATGTTCCACCTCCTTGTTCCTCCCTCTCAGTCTGTTGTGTAGCAGTCGTTACTTAGACCAGAGTGGATACTCAGACCAGAGAGGAGTGTCTCAGGGCTCTGTGTGTGTGTGTGTGTGTGTGTGTGTGTGTGTTAGAGACCAAAGGAATGAAGGCATATTTTTTCTTCAAAAAAAAAAAAATACGTGTGTGTGTGTTCCAGTGTGTGTGTGTGTGTGTGAGCCCACAGCCCCACCACTGTGTGTTGCCTCATTAGAATAATAATGAGCAGAGAACTGAGAGTTGAACGACCTTAAATGAAGTTGGTTTTTTAAGCCTGTCTCATAAAACGTCAGTCCAGGTGTGGTGTCGTGGCCCCAGGGTTTATTTGTGTCCAACGTCCAACAAGTTTCCTGCTGTGGAACTAATAAAGTGGAGACAGAGAGACGCAGACTGAAGACCAGAAACATTCAGACCAGAAACATTCAGGACAGAAACATTCAGACCAGAAACATTCAG